AAAAATCGAACTCTCCACATGTTTCGAAACGCAGCCAGCGCGCTTTTTGAGAAAGAGCATCTATGACATACCTAATCAGGAGTGACCGTACATTCGCTCGCAGGAACGATTACTTTTGGATTGGAGCAGGAATCCTCCGTAGAGCACCTTACTTTTCCAACGCTGAATTTGAGGATGCGCTTGCCAAATAACTCAATGTTGCGTCTTGCAACTTTACTACTGCAACTCTAATCTCCGTATCAAGCTTGTCGAGCCACTTTCTCTGGTCGTGATATGCACTGACTTATGTCAGTGAAGCTTTTGCGCCCGGATGTACTCAATTACGGCTAACACTTTTTTTGCAGACGCTCTTGCCGCGTCTGTCATTTGAGCGGACTTCTTCTAGTGCCAGCTTGGCAACAGAAATCTATCCGGGAATATTTGAATTGGCAACAAATTTGTGCAAGTTGTGTGCATTATCAAACTATCTTCCAGATAAACGTGGAACAAAGATTGATTTCATGAGGGCATCGCAATTCAATGCATAAACACTAAAGCATGCGGAATAAAAAATATAATACATCGCAGCGCTTTATTGCTCCGAAAAGGAGAACATTTCACAGTCAAGCTCTGCCATGATTTGCTTTATAGTATTTCAGATTTACTTGAATCATTCAGGCCTATTGTAGAATCATTCTCCTTTTGTCATTTTATCATGCTTGTAAATCTGAAACACTGCAAGGGCTGACATGAAAACTGGAGTCATAGTTCAAGTTTGTTGAAGATGACTTTGCAATTCTTATCGCAAACGGTCTCGGTTAATGGTGCCTACATTTTCGACAAACTAAGTCGTAAAACCTAAGCATCAGCATTTCAGATTCTTTTGCAAACTTATATTCTTGGCGAGCTTTGAAAAATGAAGTTCAGCGGTTTTTTTCCTCGCTTACATTTCTGAGGAAAGCTCTATGCATCTGGTACTTGAATTAGCCTTTCAGGTCCAAGCAGCATGATGTATGGTGATAAAAATCTACAGCGTATCCCAAAATAACATGCACACTGTATGATCGTTAAGAACTCTCTTGCCTTCATGTCTTTTCGAAGAGGGCTGTACAAATTTGACGGAGCTGAAAAAAACAACCACTTCTCAAGAGCGAAGGCATTCATGCTCATACACTTTAAACTAGGCATGTGCATATCTCAAAAAGAATGTAGGCCGTCCGCGCAGGGCGCGGAGAGTGCGCAAGGTGTGTATTGCTCGTCACTCCTCTTTCCTCGTGCACTCTCGCCGCCTATTTCTCTGCGCTTCTTCCAGTTCGTGAACTGCCTTCGATGTACGCAGCAGCGTTGCTCTCCGCGCGCGGTGCGGACAGCCTATAACAACCTCGACAATAAGCTGTCAACATGGTTAATATTTATTTATCTCCTTACCTTCGTACCTGACATTTTCTCAACACAGCGATTTGACTTTGACAAAAGCACAAAAGAACAAATCTTGGCCGCTCTCGAGAAGTCACAGCAAGAAGACGACGATCAATCGCTGATCAGTGCGCAACATTCACAATCAGAGACAAACTACGATGTTAAGAAGCTGGTACAAATTAGTTTCCCAGTGCCACCTTTTTTGCAAGAATTTCGCTTATAGGCAGACTCCCCAATAGTCAAGGCATTCACTGAAGCTGAAAGGAGGCGGTTGTCCAGATCGAAAAAGTGATATTTACTAAAGAGAAGAGGAAAAGGCAAATCAAACTTTTATGTACAAATTCAAACCGCATTAACGAAGAATTTCGTACTTGATGCTGATAATGGAAAGTTAGAGCTTGAGTAACTCATCTTATGCTGTAACTCTGCGCGGTTTCCCAAAATCAGTTTCCGCTGGCGATACCCATTTGTCCAGATTTGCCTGGGCGCCGCTTTCAAAGAAAGTGGCTCGGCAAGCTTGATACGGAGATTAGAGTTGCAGTAATAGAGTTGCAAGACGCAACATTGAGTTATTTGGCAAGCGCATCCTCTAAATCAGCGTTGAAAGGATAAGGTGCTCTACGGAGGATTCCTGCTCCAATCCAAAAGTAATCGTTCCTGCGGGCGAATCTACGGTCACTCCCTAATCGGTAGTCTAAGGTTGTCAGTATACATGACCAAAATATCGCTACTTAACAGCCACTCATGATGAAGATATAAGTATAACAATTTAGCTCAGGTCTGTTGGCAGAACTTTCTTTACAATCTAATACTTAATCTCGTTTTACAGAACACCTAGAAAAAAATGACGGTCTATATTTTGTGCTATTAGCTGTCGAAATGATATATTAGGTTGTCCTGAAAGTTCTGTCGTTTCATTTTTGAAAATTTGTATATCACGCTATCTTGTGCTATCACAACGAAATTGGTTCATTGTACATTCATTAAAGAGACCAGATCTTTCGCTTTCGAATGCTGTTTTGATGAGCTTCGGCTACGGCTGGCTGCAGAGATAAAAATAGAGAAAGAAGACCATGTAAGCTTTGGTCATTTTAACTTAGGTCGCCAAAAATCTGGAAAGCGGCAGAAAAATCGGAAATAGTTAACGCTTGAGTTTTTTGACTTATTCTTTGCACCTGTAAAAAGCTTGTTCTGTTTGAACGTCCCTCTGAAAAATTACGAATTATCAGTTTGCTACAGAAAACGCCAAAATCAATTGATTTGTCACTTTTTCGAGAACCATAACTTTGTACAGACACGTTCAAACAGCACAAACTTTTCAGAGTTGCAAAGGCTAGGTCATAAAACATGTGTATTTACGATTTCAGATTTTTCCGCAGCATTCCCGATTTTTGGCCACTTAAGTCAAAATGACTAAGGCTTATATGATCTCATTTTTCTATTCTTATCTCTGCACTCAGTCCACAGCAAAAGCTCAAAACAGCATTCGCAAGCAAAGGAACTGCTCTTTCTAATGAAAGTATAACGAACCAGTTTCGTTGAGATAGCGCAAAGTTACAAATCTTCAAAAATGAAACGACGGAACTTTCGGGACGACTTTATACAAACTGTTGGTATATAAATCTTTCTCGCTTCAAAAAAGTCTTGCTCTGGCGATCCATGAAACAAAAGCCATTAGCACGTTGACGACAACGCGCATTTTTAGTTGTCTGCCTCGTGTGGGACAATGCCCTCCACGGATAAGTCGAAATTTCCAGGTAAAATCATGCAGATCGTCAACTACAGTATTTCTATGAAGCGGGCGAGAAACGCAAAAGCATTTTAGAGGGTCAGAGCTTAAAAGAACTCCTAAAACGAATGTGTTTAAGACAGCAGTCAATTTAACAAAATTTAAGCCATATCTCACTATATGGGTCACACTGTCCCATGTGGCAGTCATTGCATGACCCACTATCGTCAGTGTGTTAAGTGGGAGGGGTGGAGCAAGCTAAAAATGTCTCCACCTTATTTTTGAAGAGCCACAGATTTTTTCATCTAACAAGCTCCATTAGAAAGCTCACGAAGCAGGGATTCGATGCGGACCGTCTCTTTTTTCCTTGCGCCTCTCTACTCGAAGATACATGCCATTTGAGCTGGAAACTTGCATGTTTTTTCAAAGAGATTTCTATGCAAAGAATGAATGAAGAACTTAAAGGCAGTGTCCGGGCAAAAACTCGATTTTAAGATTTTGTGCTTACCTGGGCCTATTCACTATGTTGAATCCGAAAATCCACATTGGAAGGCGCGAAAACGGCAAAAAAGGGCTCTAACATGGGAGTGAAATCAGAAGTGGGCGAGGTCTTCCCCACTGTGAATTTTGCGGTCCCATCTTCTGAAGCGATTTTCTAAATTCCGCTACCGACCTGAGATCTCCATAGACCAGGTAATGCATGACTTGAAATCCGGACCGAGAAGATCGCTCCGGAAGCTTGGAGCGTGGATCCGCAGTGGGGGAGACCCCGCCCACTTGTGATTTTCCTCCTGCGCTAGAGCCCTTTCTCGCCGTTTTCGCCGGATTCAGCATAGTATATAGGCCAGGTAAGCACAAAATCTCAAAATCGAGTTTTTGCCTTTAACAGTGTGCTTGCTTACAGAGCAAGACTTTGCCAGTGAACTTAAACGTCTCTGTTTTTCTGTTCCTCTTCCAGAAGTAGAGCCAAAATGAACGCGTAAAATCAGCTGATGCTGCAACTAGAAAAATTTTTGTATGTGAAGTCCAGGAAACTGGAGAAGAAGAAACGGTCTTTGCTGAGTCTACATATTCTAAACTTTCGCATGATATGTCGATTGATGAGTCATAAAGCTTTCTTGAATCAAAAAGGTCTTTGTTTGATGACATTTAATTCTTCATATCACACCTCTTTACCACTTATTTCCCTCTTTGCACACCCCAGTCCTGGCATGTAAGCTCATATCAGCATTCACCTCAGGGATCAGTCACTCCCTTCACTTTCATAGGTCGGAAATAGCCGAAACCCCTTTTCCTGGAGAGAACCCTGCTACCCTATCGCACTATGGCATTGCCACATTTCAAGCACTTCAAAAAACATTGAAAGTTGGTACTGAAGTGAACAAGACTACCGGCTTTTACTCCATTTTTTGCTACAATCCGATCTGGCTTCGAAACGCCCACTTGTTTATCTAATTTATGTTTATATGTTTTATATGTTTTGTTTATTTTGTTTTTATGTTTTTTTTCTTATAGTCAGCAAGACGATATCAGAACAGCCAGCGAAATCCGAGCATGTTGAGTGACGTAGTGAAGTCATAAGTGACGAGTAGAAATAAAGGCGAGATTTGTCTATAGCCCAATCATCACCTTGTGTTATGCGTACGCTAAAGCAGAACTTAGGAATATACAGACAAATGCTCAGGCTGTTTGTTTTTATACAATCCTATCCATGTAAACACTGACATAATTTGATAAAGGACGTCAGATACTGCACACATGTACTTGGGAGGGGGGGGGGGACGATTGCCTACGTTTTTTGAGTACTCTGTTCATGAAGAATGGATATTTTAGTACCTACGAAAAATACCCATAAATTATGTGACCATGAGTGAAAAAATCTTGTCAGGTCTTATTGACTCTTCAAACCATCATTTCAAGAACAAACGTTTATATCAGAAGCATGCGGACGTCCTCCCCTTTTTCTTGCATATGAATGATCTCATTACATCTTTGCAAGGCGCGTCATTCCACATTAGATAGGACCAAGATCCATGGTCACCAAACAACTGAAATGCGCTTTATATAAAAAATGGAAGTAAGGAGATGCTAAAATGAATGTTTATTTTGCTTATATCTGAATCGATCAAACTGTTGAGTTTTCTCTAAAGCTTCAACCAAGGGTTTACGCTCTTCAATGAATGAACATACATAGCTAGCTCTATGATTAGTGTTCTCTGCTCTCAACGCTGGTAGTGGAAAGATTTTTCGTGTCTAAGCATTTCCTTCATATTATATCTACCTGCGTGCAGTGCTCATTTGAGCCAGCGTTGTCCGGCTGACCGTTAGCAAAAGTCAGAAAATCGACTTTCGTGCCATCAGTCCAGCTCCTTTCTTGTCTTTTGGATAATTCACTTGTCTCAGACCTATCCATGTGTAATCGGTATGCTTCGTCCACTCTTTACCTGTTTTCGCCAATGCTAAATCACAGCAACCAATATTGTAGTTTTGCAATATGGATGATGAAATAAATCACCTGCTACAAAATGATTTTCCTCATAGCTGTGTATGGAAGCCAAATGCGCTCCTTTCGTTTTACAAAATCTTTCGGCATTGTCGAAGCTTGCCGTGAAGAATTGCTGTAACATTTCGCATTCCACAAGCGTCAATAAAATTACTGTCTCTTATTAAACTAAACACCAAGTCCTCATCCAGTGAACCTTACAGGCTTTCTCAAATGATAATGTTAGGACATAGAGCAGCTCGAATTCATGAACTCGAATTCATTCGCCTTCTTCCAACTTGCCTCTCGCAAACATTCCCAGCATTCATAGCATTCATCGCTACTCAGACGTGGAAAACAGTGACACCGTCACTGAGCAGCCTATATTTAATAACGATTCCTTAGGATAGATCAGGTGCATAAGTTATATTGGGTTTCCCTTTCGTATGGAGGATGGTATTTGAATAAGCCAAGAAGCTGCTTAATGTTTTTGTTATGGATCATCTCTTGTCGCGCGCGTCTGTATACGATGTACGCTGAAATTGATCAGTTTGTCGATTATTGGCAGACGACGAAAATTTGCACAAGAGGTTTCGCAATAATGATAAGTGAAAAATGCTTTTGTTAGAATTTTCTAGCTGCTTGATATCCTATTTGACTACTCTACTAGAGTAAACATTATTGGCATAAAAGTATAAGTACGAATAGCGATTACAAATAGGTAATAGGTATATGTATGTAATAGATAACTGTACCGCTGCCTTTCGACAATTTCACCTGAAGAATCAAAGTTGGTAAGTGATTTTGACATTCGGATCATGTTGAAGTAGGAAACCTGACCTTAAAAATAAAGGGGCGAATCTTGTCTCTTAGATTCAATTGACTCGGCCGTGATGCAAGAACAACTCCTGGCCGCCTTTAAGTGATTCAGCAATTCCATTCCGCGCTCTTACAATCATTAAGAGATCAAGGGCATTTCGATTAACCTCATGGAATCAGCAATGGTTACACAAGCATTTCCGAGAAATTTATTGAATGCGGAGTTCTTCATCTTATAAATGAAGCTGAATGTCTGTTTGTCTGTCTGTCTGTATCTCTGTATGTCTCTGTACGTATGTTCCGAATTGAAAATTCTATTTCTAAACCGATCCGGACCAAACTTGACACATATAGACTTCGGGGGGGGGGGGGCGTCGTAGGCTAATTTTCGTTATCGATTGATATCGAATTTATCGATTTTTTGCAAGGTTTGAGCTACGGAGCTGGGAGTTGGTAGAGAGGGGGCAAGGGAGCATGCCGATTACGAATACAATAACAGTTAATGAATTTACCAGTGGCGGACCGAGGTGGCGGGGGGAGGGAGGGAGGCGCCCCCTCCCTCGAGAATGGGTCGCGAAATTTTCAAAACTTACCTACATGGGTTATAAAAATGTGCAAATGACTTGTTCACTTTCGTAAATAATTAAAATCTTATATATAAAGCTGAATGTCTGTTTGTCTGTCTGTCTGTCTGTATGTATGTCTGTCTGTCTGTCTGTCTGTACGTATGTTCCAAATAGATAATTCCATTTCTGAACCGATCGGGACCAAACTTGGCACACATACACTTCGGGTCCTGGCGGGTGTCATAGGCTACTTTCCGTCATCGATCAATATCGATTTTATCGATTTTTTGCAAAATTTGGGCTACGGGCTGGGACTTGGCACAGGGGGGGGGTGTAATCGAGCATGCTGATCACCCCGTGGGGGTGATCAGCATGCTCGATTACACCCCCCCCCCTGTGCCAAGTCCCAGCCCGTAGCCCAAATTTTGCAAAAAATCGATAAAATCGACATCGATCGATAACGAAAAGTGGACTGTGACACCCGCCGGGGCCCGAAGTGTATGTGTGCCAAGTTTGGTCCGGATCGGTTAAGAAATGGAATTTTCTATTCGAAACATACGGCGGAGCCGGGTAAGCCAGCTAGTAATTTTTAAAATTTAGAAATTTAAACTAGCCTTAAGTTTTTTTTCGGGGGCGGTGCATGGCTGACGCCACGCACCTTCATTTGGAAAAATTTTTTGCCGCCCCCCCCCCCCGCCTGTCCGAAATCATGGGATCGCCACTGGAATTCACCCATTGCGTTTATCGATTTTTGCAAAGTTTGAGCTGCGGGGCTGGGAACTGGTGGGGGGGGGGATAGGTGAGCATACTGATAACGAAGACAAAACGGGAATAGGGAGCTGGCATGTAGAACTGGGCATAGGGAAAAGTTTGTACAGGATTTGGAACGGACATTTGTCATAGTGTTTTGACAGGGCCGGGCAGAGCCGGGTGAGCCAGTTAGTGGTATATAATATGACGCACTGGATTTGCTCAAGTTTTGGAACAGTCAGAGATAAGCTTGAGGCAGAGCTTTGCGTTAATACAGCAGCGGTTTACTTCTGCGATCGCGGTCTATTACAATGACGCAAGGCACAAAGAGGGTTCATGATTTTTGCACCTGTCCGGCAGATGCGGCACTGCAGCGTCCATTTCAACCAACGGCGATGCCGCGCCTGAAACGTGCAAACATGGAATAAGACTTTATTGGCATTCCTATGTGATGTAAGTAGAGCTTAGTACAACGGCATGTTCCATCTCACGTTTCCTATGCACATTACTCGTTGTACTCCTATAATTCTATAATAATTCAAATACGCAAATTTTCTGTGCGGTTACCAAGAGAAGCCGTATAAAAAAATTCTGATTGTGTTCCAAAATTTCTCATGATGCAGCGAAAACTTGTTGCACCACGATGCATCACGTTGCTCTGTACATTCTTGTATCTATCTAACAATAACATATGCAGTGTGCTAAAACCCCTACGTTTGAATGTTAACGTTTCTGTTAAAGGCAGTGGCTCGGCAAATTTTGACTTAGTCAAATTTTTGCTTACCTGGGGTTTTCCGATGCGCTGATCCCGAAAATCCACTTCAGAGAGCTTGAAAATTGCGAAAACGAGCGTTTTTCAATGCCCTTTGCTTTGAAATTGGACGAGTGGGGCACGGCTGAAGAAGCCGAATCGTGGCGGGACCCGATGGTTATAGCATTGCGGCGGGCAGCCACCAACGCTGTGAAAAGCGTTGTTCAACTCGTCCGAGCGCGTGTAAGATAGGCTTAGTTTGAGAACAGTTTTCGCGACAGGGAAGGCATGCTGTGCGACCGGGACTGCACTGCTTTCACACCTGGGTGATAAGCAACCTATCGCGTAAAATTCCCGTGTTGCTAAGATTTGCCAATCCACTGCCTTTAAGGTATGATGTGCTAGATGATATGATATGAAATGCATCTGTTTTTATAAAAAGGTTAGCTATAGGCTGCTGCATGAGAAGGCGCATTATCTTTGGGCGCGAAGGCGGTTTTATTAGCCGCAGAGCGCATGGGGCGCAGGATTCACTATGTTGAAGATACTAGCGCGCAGCGTTTGCGCACGCTCAACTATTAGTGCTTCTGCGCCTACGTCATGCAGCAGCCTTTATATAATTTTGTTGAAGTAAGCTAACTCTCAGTCTGGTTGCCTCTCAAATAAAGACCTTGTTTATATACAAGAAAGTCTGTCTTGGTACCTTTCGTCGATCGTTTAGTGCTATTCTGTAGAGACGGCTTTAACTTAGACAACTTAGGCCCGTATGCACGTACATCCCCGGTGAGGTGGGGAGGCTGAGAGGGGATGCGTCATATCTCGCTACTCTTCGTATCTTTCTTCTTCTTTCTCTATCTTGCTTATGAATTTTTTATGCACTTATACCTGACCATAATGGATGCCAGGTTACTTACATACAAAATTGGTTTTTTGCCATTTTGTGTGATCCCCAGGGGATCCCCAGGGGAGAACTTAATGAAAAATAAAATTGTACTGAGGATATACTACGGTCGACAGAAGAAATGGAATTCGAAGATTGTGAATTCTACGATGATTCCTGGCTCGCGACTCGCGAGGTAGGGACTATCGAAAATTTCGATAATCTGAAATTTCACTTATTTCTACTATACTCATCTTAAGCAGCGCCGTGGTATATCCACAGTACAATTTTACAGCGTTTCAGTGAATTTTCAGGGAGATAAATGACGAAATCGAAAGGTGATCCCCTGGGGATTCCCTGGGGATCTCCAGGGGATACACAAAATAGTGAAAATCTAAACAATCACGCCAGTAACCTGACATCTATTATGCGCAGATATAAGGGTATGAGAACTTTCATAAGCAAGATAGAGAAGGAAGAAGAAAGATACCTAGAGTAGCGAGATATGACGCGTCCCCTCTCAAATCCTCTCCCCTCCCCAGAGGGGATGTACGTGCATACGGGCCTTAGGCACGCACACCACACCCACACACAACACACACAACATTTGGTGGGTACCAAGTGATTAGGGGGTAGACGAGTTGTGGAATAAGGTTTATTCGCACGGGCGTAGATTATTCGAGAAGAGTCCGAGGTGTCCCGGTGTGGACCGGGGAGCAACCCCTAATAACATTCGGAGGCTCCTCTTATACGAAGGAGGGCGGAGCTGAACCGAATACAGGGTACAATGTACACTTGGTGCTTGAAAGGAGATGCCGCCGATTGGCTACACTCCTGGCGCACGGATACCACTCACTCTTGAGTGATTAGATACTAAAGAGTGAGTAGCTCACCATTTGGTCTACGGGGATTCCGTAGGCTATATAGAATATAGAGTTCATGAATGGTTGATGATACAGAAATCATCAACACTCCGGGCGAGCGAGAGGAAAGTGAGATTTGGTAAGATCCTAAGTAGAGTAGCAGATATATGTGAAGTTGACTAGCGAATAAGTTAATACCTACGCATAAAAAATGAGCTATAAAGCAGGAGTTGTAAGTACCTTAAACATACACACAAGAGTACGATCATTTAGATAAAGTGGTAATGGGAAAAGATCCTGGAGTGGTTGCTGGAGCTGTTTGGCGGTTTAGCGCTGCTCGTCATCCTCGCCATTTCCTCCCTTTCCATACTGAATCGATAGTAGATGATCCATTGATGACCATATCCTTGATAGACGGCGTGGTTGCGTGATGTGTGTACTCATGATGTCTTCTCTCTGGTGTATTCGTCATCCTTATCTTGGCTTCATTATTTGTGAACCGCTGCG